TGATAATAATGATTATAACAAAACCAAAAATTTTGTAAAACTAAATGTCAAGTTTATCAAAAAATTTTAAAAAACAAAAAGGAAATAAAATGCTAACAAAAAAATGTTGAGTTTTAAAAGAAATTCTTATTATTGGTAAATGAGCGGAGGCCTAGCTTGAAAGTATCGTAAACATTTACATTATTCGTGAAAAAAGTTGGTTACGTTTGATGTCTCAAGAAGATACTTATAGACTTTTACTTTTAATAACTCCCAAAGGCTGATAAGCATAACTCAATAAATAAATTATTTTTGTATCTTGGAGTGTTTAAAAGAAAATTTATGGCTATTCAACTTAAGCAATTCTTGAACTTGTGTTAAATAAAAAATTAACTTTAGCACATTACATGATTTTTTTATTTTTTATTATCTTCAATATTTTGCCAGTCAATTTAGGTAAACATCAGAAATTTGAGATTTTAGAAAAAAATTAAAGAGAGCAGAACATTTATTGTCAGATTACAGTCACATTCATTATATTTTTTGTCATTTTTCCAAAAATTGATATAGCCGGAAAAAACAATTATTCATAAAAAAGAATGTTGTCACAAATGTATAATAATTTCTAATTAAGACTGTTTGCCTGTTTGTGTGGTTAGTACGTTGTGACAGCTTATGAAAATATATGTGCTAGGGCCATTCATTTCATGTTAAATGTGCGGACTTTTATGAAACCGTTTATATTAATTTGAGTTGATACCAGAGCAGCTGACACAAACTACATCTATGAAGAAATGTAAATTTGCTCCATATAAATCATATACCAAGTAATGGATGTAGAAAATAATTTCATGGGAATGAAAAAACAACAAAAATGACAAAAATAAATTAAATATATACACATATATGGCCACTAAATTTTTTATTTAATTAATATTTAGGACTATTTAATCACTAATTAGCTGAAATTATATTCCAATATTCAGCTTAATTCAATTAATTCAGAAGTTATTTTAATGTATATAAAATTACTGTTGATTTGCCGTTGACTATGGCCTAATACTAAATTGGTTGTAATCGAACTATAGTCAAACCACATTTCGAACTAAATCTAACTTAATTCGAAATATTTGAACTGCTCGCTCTGCATCGATAGGAATTGAATCAACCGGTTATTCAGATCGGTTTGGCAGCCTCCGCCGATCGGTGGGGACGAAGCGGTCATCCAAACCCGTCTATCGCCTTATGCCCTAACTCTAATAAAAAAAAAGAAATTAAACCTCATCACAGTCATGACTATGAAAATAATTTTAAAATGTGCGCCGTTGTTTTGATGAATTGCCATTTTAGTTACTAGTAAAGGTTCGCAAGTATTGATGTTTTCATCAATATAAGTAGCTAGATTGAGAACTGCGTAAATGTCTACCTACGTTCTGAATAAAGTCAACACCCACAATTGTAAAATGTATTCATGTTACGTTTATTTACAACTAGAAATGTTAAAATTTCAAGCTACAATCATTATTCCAACACGGTGTTTGCTATGTTAAATTATGGATTTCAGGTTCTTGCGACTAGAATTAAAATTTCAAGAAGTTTTAATTATAGTAATAATAATTTGCTCTTCTTTCAAATACATATTAGCAGAACAATTTTTGAAATTATAAGTTCTCAAAAAGTTTTTTTTATATCACTCACGCACATATAACGTTTGGCATTTTTAGGCTGCCATTTAATTTGGTTCTCAATTAACACAGTGCTCACGAGTATATCCATAAAAATAAACTCGTAACTCCAGAAGTGTCGCAAGCTAGGAAGCAATCCTGAACTCTCCCTTCCATGTTTTTATTTCAGAATTAGTTGGAAACTCTGTATTGAAATCTATTTTGTTTTAATTTTTAAATTTGTACTGGTTTTTTTTATGGAGACAGTAATTCAATCAAATATTTATAAATTAATAATTCAGCTACTTTTCAATACTGGCCATATTTTAAATGAGGTATCTGTAAATAAATTCTTTCACAACAATATAATTACATATATAATTTCAACGAACTTGAAAATAATCTCAATTGTCGAGCAAATTACATCGTAGATATTACAAAACACATTATTTACTGGCTGCAACAAATAACATCCACAAAACATTCGGTCATGCATGAAAATAATTGGAATAGTTACTCCAGTGCCCACGTGTTCCATCCGTGCCACATTTGGGTTATGCGTTAGAACTTATCGAGATTAAATAAAGTTTTTTAACCGCTAACAATACGTGCATTTAAATTCAAATGAATAGCTGAAATAATTTTTTTATTTAGTTAAACCCTAAGCATCTTGAAATATCACTGGCTACAACATTGGTTGAAAATTTTACAAACATTTTATTTTTTTCTGGTTTATGTCTGGACCTCAATTAGTTTGAAAGTATTGAATAATTTTATAAAAAATGTTCACTTCTATTTATAAAAATGACGTTTTAATTTATATTCAGAACTTGAAATACAAATTTCTTTTCTAACACTGACAATACGACGAGGAGAATTCGTTCAAAATAACCAGCCGAGCAAACAATTACAAAACTTCGAGCAGATACTCAGAAGACAAAAAAACTGAATTGTTTGAAAGATGTAGAAGCATAAAAAGCAATTTGACGAACAAACACTTGAAGAGAATAAAAATCACTCGCAAAGAAGCAATAACAATAAATTTTTTTAATCACTGTCACACTGCATTGCTGTACTAGGTCTGCCTGCCTGCCTGCCTGTCTGTCTGCTTGCGTACGTGTCTCAGACGACTTTTCAAGATGCACTCATTACAGATACGTTAAGTTGATTTGAGATCTAGTTCGCAAATTGAAATGAAAATTTAAAATATAGAGTATGTGTTTCTATCTACCTTTAATGGAATGGGTTGAGCTTAGTGAAAACAAAAATTGAATAACCAATATTGTTGTTTTAATTTATACAAATCTGATATGAGAAAAAATCTGATAAACAAATCAGAACGTTTTGTTTGAAAAATTATAAAAATTTTAGTAAATGTTGTCCTCAAAAACATTATAACAAACTTGTAATTGTTTTCTATTTTTCAAAGCCTAATTACCAAAATACTTTAAATTTTTAATTCATGTTGAATTTGTTATCAAGCATTAATGCTTTACGTAGCCTACCTAAAAAAGCATTGCGAAATGCTACTTAGGAACAATCGTTGGAGGCGAAGCAACATGATTTAACGTAAGATACTTACTCATTTCTTCCATTATATTTTACGGGTATCACTGCTAACAAAAAATTTTTTCATTTCCCCCTATAAAAATGTTTGTATTCATCGAAGTGTAAAAAGATTTAAATTGAAAAAATAAAACAAAATTTTCGAAATACTAACTTATTTGTCACCAAAAAACTTAGAAAATAACAAATAAATGATAAGAAGGAAAATCTGATAAACCCGAAGTATTTGCAATGTCTGAAACGTGCCACGCACAAACAAATTGTGTCAATCCTTGTCTCTATCAAAAACTGACCTCTGACCTCCTCAACATCCACAGAAAGCAACATGAACGCAACAGTAAATCCTGGTCAATTGGTCCTTCAAAACTTTTTCAAAGGAGGAAAAATTTGTCACAAGATGATTTACTTTTCAAAATAAATTTCAGGCATTTTTATTTTAATAGCAAAAATAACTGTTGAACAGAAAAGTCTGCTTGTATTATTAATGAGCCTTCAACGAAGTGTTTCTTTGAAGTTTATGTTGCGCTGGTATATATTTTAACGTTTAGTTGAGGTTTTTTTTATTTCACTCGCTTATATTTAAAATAATATGTAAATTTTTTAAAAATGTCTTCCATATGATTCATGCTACATAAGTTTGTTATTATTACACGTCAAAAAAATTAACACTGCACGCATATTCACATACACACTAGGTACGTACACATCCACGTACACACATTCACGTACACACATCCACACATACACACACATCCACGTACACATTCCGGTCACAGGCAAGCAAGCGCAGTATCAATTCACATTTTTTGTTTGCGTTACCATTGAAAGACCATCAAGCGATCAACCCGCATGCAACATTAATCATACACAATGTCTCAGCAAGAAGTATACAAATGAAATGTATAAAATGTTTGTTGACAAGCATGTATATATATATATATATATATATATATATATATATATATATATATATATGCATACATATACATACACACATACATACATACATATACATATATAGTTTTAATTTATTTAATTTAATTTTTTTTTTAATTTAACACAATTTTATTAATGGAGACCTGAAGCAATGCTTGTATGGCCACCTCCAAAAAAAAAAATAAAAAAAAAAAACAAAAACCATAACGTAATATGATCAGAAATAGATACCTATGTATCTATGTAGGTATATATCATTACATACTTATATATATTTTATATAAGTAAATGAAAAAGTAGTATGTTCTAAAGACAATGCAATAGTATTTCTATATAAAAATTATTATGTATACAGACAAAAAGTTTAACATCCTTTAAACTGTTGATGATGGAAATTGTTTTGTGAACAATCATGTACAAAAATGCGTACATAAAAAAATTGGTACATAGAAACATGCAGTTTTTTTTCATGTACATGTACATACTAGACATACACCAATACATACACATACAACAATACGTACACAAACATACAAAATTCAAATTTATTGAATTTACACAGTATCAACGTAAATACAACTGTGTACTGCTACAACCACCCGACAATTAACATTTGTTGACACACTTTTGACTGATTAAAATTTTGGCGTTTGTATATTTGCAACTCAATTCTATCTATCATTGAATCATTGAAATATTTTAAATTGAAATGATCATGATCCTCTCTGTCATATTAAGATACTAAATAGATGTGGTATGAACTAACTTGGGATGAGTAATTATATCATTAATTGTAATAATTACTAATTAAATGATCATCTCGGATTACAATAAACAGACGCGGTATTATCTAACTTGCAAGGAGGTAGCTGGAACCATGAAGGTCATGGACTCGTTGAAGATCGGATGCCGTTCGTCTCGCTTGCACGAGGTTTTCTTCTTTTGAACTCTCTTGTTGTTTTGCATCAGGTGAACTTTCACGAAACATTCTGGAGTTGGTATAGATTAGACCATTTAAAATATTATCAACAACGCATATTACTTGCATTTTCCTATTAAATTATTGGAAACTTGATTCTTTATACCGGTAGTTAACGCAACAGACAACTAATCAGTAAGAACAAACACAGATTGAAAAGGAACAGTTACATAAAAAAAAATAGCAAACAGTAGCCAAAAACAAACAACTAACCAGTAACAACAATCTCCGCTGGCCACATAAGATCTCTGGCTTTAATGATGATGACAGTCAGTCGCTCAGCTGTCGGTAGGTAACTCATGGAGAACAAAATATCGCCACACTCTGGCAGTTTGTAGTTGGATTCGTGCAAGTTCAACCAGATTTTGAATGGCTGAGTGAGAGAGAGGAGGTCACCCAGCCGAAGTTCTGCTTCACCGAGTGTTTTTGTCGACGGAGTTTGCTGTAATGTTTTTGTGGTTGCATTGAGTGAGTCGTTCGTTGTGGCTGCTGCTACTGCTGCTGCTGAAGTTGTTGCCATGTTTGCAGACAGGACCTTCAATGTTGGTTATAAAAAAGCTAACACTCAACTTAAAAAAAAATATGAGTTCTTCAATTCACAGTAATATAATAAGTAGAAAAACATTTGTAAATAATCAGAAAATAAACGTCTGTAGAAAAAAACGCATTTGAAAAGGTTGTGTTTTTAACACGATCTTGAATTAGTGCAACGAGCTAAATTATTGTGCCCAAGGCAATAATTCAATCCAAAAATTTACGTCTTAAAGAATGAGATTTGACAATAGGAAAATTTCAAAAGTTGTTAAGTATGTTGCAGATTGCGATGACAGAACTTTGAAAAATGGAACGAGCGTATGTGAATATTAAAAAAAGCAGGTGGCGGCAAAAATTGAAACAACGTAAAAATGATGAAAATGTCAAAAAAATTAATGTTATAAAATAATGGTGAAAAACGCGATGGAAAAATGTTGCTAAAAATAAAGCTGTCATCAAAAAATTCATCTATCAACATATTTCATGATGGTGCTGCAAAATAAACAAAGAATAAGTTATATTTTATTGGAAAACTTATTTTAAAATGTAAAAAAAACGAATATTAATAGAAATTTTATAAAAAAAGTGCGGTCACCTCAATTTTAACTGTTTGTAGCTGGTACTCACACCCTGGCACTTTGAATGTAAACGTTTCCTGATACTTTGGACAGTTTGTATCTTTGTGGAACTGTTTTGTTAATTGATTGATCGTCAGTTGATTGATGGCTTGTTGGTTGATTGATGGTCAGTTGATTGATGGCTAGTTGGTTGATTGGTTGATTGATGGTCAGTTGGCTGATGGTTAGTTGGTTGATTGATTGATGGTCAGTTGGTTGATGGCTAGTTGATTGATTGGTTGATTGATGGTCAGTTGGCTGATTGGCTAAGTGGTGCTTGAATGAATGATTAGTTTATTAATTGGTCATTAAATTGATTGTCTGATTGGTTCATTGTTCAGTGCCATAACATCAATTAGCAATTCAAATATTTTCACAAACAAGTTCAACTTCTTTGGTTTGCATTTTAATATTTCATTAATTTGCTTTATTTCAAATAATATTCACTAGGAAAGAAACTGCAGAAAAAAATAAGTTGAGAGCAAATTTTGTCGACAAATATTTTTTAGAATTTTACCAAAATAAATAAGTCTTAAATATTTTTTTCTGTTTGGATTGTGGTGAACCAAATAAAATAACTTTGGGTTTAGATTCAATAAAACAATTTTTACAATTTTTCGTAATTAAACAGCCGATTGATTTTTTTTATAACAGCGTCGAAACATACGAAAATTCAACAAAGGAAAAAAATCGTTAGTATTTGGTTTTAAATGAACATGTCTGCAATGTTTGTAGCAGGGTCTTATATATTTTGGCATATTTTTTCATTTCCGTTCGCATGTGACGTGTGTATAGAATGTATAGAAATAAAAAAAAAACACTGAACTGAACGTGTTTAATTGAAAAAGTTTTTTTCAACTAGAAAGTGAGCGCCATCTGGTTTTCAAATAACGTGAATGGAAGTGATCCCTGTCTATGGTGGTTACCGTGATGCAAGCGAGCAATTTTCACAAAGATAAACTTATCTTTTTTACCCTATCTACCCCTATTTGCAACCAATTCATAATTGATTTTTTATTTTTATTAATTTATTTTTTATTTCCTAACTCATCATCATCTTCATTAACGTTTTTATATCATAAAAACCATGAAAAAATGTTTTGTTGTTGATGTTACAGTTGTCATGTCTGTACAATACTATCGAAAGTAGTAGTAATACTACTCGCAGCTGTAGTATTTCTTTTAAGTAACTACTGAAGTAGTAGTTATAAAAATTGTAGTTGTAGTTTTAGTATTGGTAGCAACTGTGGTAGTGGCTGAAGTAGCAGCTGTGCAGTGGTTGAAGTACATATTACAGTTATAGTTGTTTTAAAGTAATTGTAAATGTAATTGAAAAAGTAATTGAAGTAGTAGCATTAATAGTAGTAGTAGTATAAGTAGTAGTAGTAGTAGTAGTAGTAGTAGTAGTAGTTGTAGTAGTAGTAGTAGAAGTAGTAGCAGCAGCAGCAAAAACAGCTAAAGCGACGTAAGTAATGGCGACGTTTGTGTTGTTATTTCGGTATCGAACAAACCAATGAAAAGCAATATATTTATAATTTGTAAAAAAAAATCTCCATCTCAATTGCAAGAGCAATTTTTCAGCGGTTGACGTGCATGAAAAGCGTGGGACTGGAGCAGGTGAGAGAGAGAGAGAGAATAGGAGAGAGAGAGAGAGGAAGGAAAAGTGAGAGTAGGAAAGAAAAAGAGAGATGGAGAATTATAATTGACACAGCAGCCAACAAAACATCATGGCAATTAATGAATTAAATACTGATAATAATAAAACAACAATAATGATAATAATAGCAATAATAATAATAAAAATAATGTTGATGATAATGATAATATTGAAGTGATTTAATTAAATAACTATATAAATAAAAAACGAACAAATGGATGAACAAACAAACGAACAAGAACACAGAAAAACGAACAAGCATGCAAGCAAGCAAACAAACAAACAAACAAATAAATATCAATCAATCAAGTCAGCCAACCATCCAATGTTACCACAAAATAACAAACGATCAATCATTCTTATAAATGTTTGTTTTTGCATTTTAATTTTTGTTATTCAATACATTATTCATTGACCTGTGTGATATCTATAACGTTATTTCAATTCTAGTGATTTGTTTCAAATAAATTGTATGTATATAATTGATTGACGGTTCATTGATTATCATGCTGCAATATTGATATTTTTTTGGAAAAAAATTAATTTCACCTAAAAAGTTATTCAAATTTTTGTTTAAATCGTTTCACGGGACTAACAACATTTTTCAAAGTAACATAAGAAGTATTGTAACCAATGAAAAATTCACTTCCATAGTTTGAATATCTCACTGATCTTGGATATTCGTCATTTTAAATTTTGATGATTATTAATTTGAAATAATTAGTGTTAAAGTTTTTAACGTTTATAAACGTTTATTAAAATTTTTATTGAAATTTTCTCTGATATATGTTGCTAAGTTAGACGGACGATTTGTAGCTTCAGTTGAATTGAAAAATAGTTTTGTCACGCAACGCTTTCGAATGGAAAATCTTATGACGGCTAGAAATGCTAGACATGCATAAAGACAAACCAACTGAAATTATTCTAGAAAACAAAAATGAAAGAGCAATTTCTTAACCAAACGATTCTACAAAATTTATAACATATATTTTTGAAATTGATGTCTGCATTGGAATTCTTTGCGTCTATTAACACCATAGATTGCGTTATGTTTCATAAAAAATTATTTTCAAGGCAATAAAACCACCACAAGGAAATTAAGGAAGATACAAAATGTTATTACTATCAACCATTATTTACTAAAAAAAATGGACAATACAAATCTTGCGACAATTTTTTCATATTTTTCGTCAATAAGTGACAATACTTAGTAGTTGAACTGTGGAAAATGTTCACACATACACGAGATAGGAACAATCAGATGGAACAAAAATTTTCAAATATTATCACATATATTTCAATTGAATGAAAAAAATTGAACTGTTATTAAATTGAACTTTACAAGTGAATACTAAAAACAGACTAATGATTGATTTAAAATTCAAATTCAACAAACATTTAAAAAATTAATCACAGATATTATAAAATATAAACACAGCATCTCTCGTTAGAAATGAAAGATTGCCAGTACACTTGAAATAAAGCATCACCAATCCATCTTTCTCAAACATTATTCGTATATAAATTATTTCAGAGTTAATCATTCAGGACTAACAAAATAATTTTGTTTGCCAAATGGGTTCATTATTCTATTTTATAAATGTGTTTAGATTTCACAAAACTTAATTCAATTTACCAAACAAAAATTTTTAGTTTAAAACTTGATTATGATATGTGAATTCAACATTTCGATATGATTATTCAAAAGGCTATGAAAATTTGGTTACAAATTTTAATAAGAATTTTTCAAAACTAACAACGAGTTATTGGCATGGTCTAATGAACCACATCTAGTTTTTTTTATATAAATAAAATACTGATATAAATTTTTATTTTACATTCAATTCCAAGTGAGGGATATTATATTATTTTTAAAAAGCTGCTTTCCAACATAGTGAACGTGAACGAGGAAGCATATTTTACCGTGTTAGGCGGTCGGTGTCAACGCATGCCCGCTGTGGATAAATTAAAGTTCGATTTATTCATTATGTCTGACAAATTATATTTTCCAGCTTTTAAAAATTCAACAGTATCGTTTTAACGTCGATTGTATTGTCGCACGTGGTGCATGATATTTTTATCCATCGGCGTTCCATTGCATGCTGCTCAACGTACATTATTTTGTTTCGTAATTTGATGGATGAGTTTATGAGCGTTGTTTTTAAAATTGTTTTCAGAAACATAACTCCATAAAACTTCAAAATGTTTTCGAAAGATTATAATTATTGAAAATTTAAACAAAGTAGTAGCATTACGAAGGAGCACATGGAGGAGGTGACATGTAACATACAACATGTTGTTACATGTCACTTGTTACATGTCACTTGTAACATGTTACATGTAACATGTTAGCAAGCAGCACAGCAAACATTGTGAAACATATGAACAAATATTTAAACTCACTCAAACAAACATTAAAAAAAATATTAACATTTTCAAAAGAGCAGAAATGAACGTACTTTGGTGCAAAACTTTCCCTGGTTCCTGGGGCTAATGGACACCTGGACAAATGAATCTACACCACAATTAGCACCTCCCACGAAACTCACTCCCCCACCCCCACCACTTACACCACCAGCACTAAATAATCTGACGTCATCACGTTCAAGGTCACGTGCTTGAATGATTGTCAGAGACAGTTCGGATGTTTGTCTGGTCGTGAATGAATGAGAGAAAAAAGTTTAAGTAGATGGGTGCGATGCCTAGAAAGTGAAGTAATTAAAGAGGGCTGATGGATGGGTGGAGGGATAGACAAACATTTGAATGAAGAAATGAAAAAAATGGAGAAGACGAATGATGTTTTTTTTTATTTTTCGCAAAAGAAAATCTAGATAATGAAAACATCACTTGTATACAAGGAAATTAAAATAAAAATTAACATGACAATAAATAAAATTAAATTAAAGTGAAAATAGCAAAAGTTAGCAGCTCAAAAACAGTTAAAACTTAAAAAGAGTGTACAAAGGAAGCAAAACACAACGACAAATAAAATAAAAATAAATATATCATAAACAATATTAACATGGTAGAAACAATAAACTTCTTAAAAACTGTAAAAAAAATATGACTGAGAGTTCAAGCAGAGCTCCACAAATTTACAATACAATCTTCCAGAGGTATAATCTCCACACATCCAGCGGATCACGACCGTCTTTCAATATTTCACTTTTGATGGCTTTCCAGTTTTAATAACTTATATGACTGACGTTTTATTTCATTTCATTTTTTATTCTAAAATTTTTTTCATACAAAAACTTTCCGTTTGTGATAAAAAAGTTAACTCTCTCTTCATGTGAACGCATATGTGAATGGATTTGTAGGGCATACAAAATAGCGAAATGTTTTATGTGGATGTGTGCTTGAACGTTACTGCAAATAAGAGGATTTTGCAATTTATCCTATCATCGTCATTGAGGTGTAAATACTGTGGTAAGTTTTATACTGTTATTTTTTTTTAAATCAATGTTCAATACAATATGATATTTTTAATTACTTCAATTTATTTTACTCATACATTAAAATCGTTTTGAAGTTATTCACATTATCGCAAGATAACAATGAACTAGTCGAAATCATCACAGCATTTTAAGATAACAATGGCCTAGTTCAGAGATGGGCAAACATCATGATTATGACCACCAAAAAGAAGCCACAAACCACAAATCTTAAAAAAATTTTCCCCCGGGTCGAAAAAATTTATGATAATATGCGGCCCATCTCAGGTAAAATAGTTGCCTACCCCTGGACGAGTCGAAATCATCACATCATTGTGAGATAACGATGTCCTAGTTGAAATCATCACGTCAACGTATTGGATAACCTGTTATAATGCACTGATAGTTCGATCTGTCCCAACCTCACAGCCTCGGTGGTTGAGCCGTCTAGATCAGACAATATGCTATCACACGATATTGCCTTCTTGACCATAGGACGAATTTTTTCTAAAAGGTTGGCGATGGTGACGTTTTTCGGCAAGCAACTATCACATTATCAATAATCTATAAACATTTCTTATATGTTCTTAAAATTACTTTTTAAATTTAATTCATTCAATTTTAGATGATTGGAAAACTCTTGGTAGCGGTTTCCATTTTAAACAATTTTTTTTCTAAAATATCTTCAATGAACATTTTTAAACACATTTTCAAATAAAATTCATTAAAATAGAAAAAACAGAAACGGACCAGTGATGTCATCGATGACGTCAGCCGGGTCAGGATCTTGGCAGTCGTCAGCTGTGTCCTGTCTGAACTTCGACGGACGTCGTTGCTGGGTTGAGGTCAGTTTGAAATGGTCACTCTGCTGAAGAATAAATGAGTGTGCGCGCTTGTTTATTACACACACACACACATACACACCACACACATACACAAACACATGTACACACACCACAAACATGGCATACCTCATACTCCACACACATGTACACACACACACACACACACACATACACAAACACACACACATAAACACACCACACACAAGTGTGTATATTGTTATAAGTATCATTAGAGAAGCAAAAAATACTTTCATAAAGAAGTTTCAAAAGCGACGCATTCCAAAAAACTAGTCAGGGTGTAGTGGTTTGTCAAAATATGCGTTTACTATCACTTGAGTTTACTGCTGTAGTTGTCTTGTTTAAAAAAAGACGGTAGTAACTACTTATTAAAAAGTTACTTTTTATTAAAAAATACCCAGAGAAGTATCGCTCAAACGTCCTTCAATGCCAGAGTCAATATTTCAAAAGTTTAATTAAGCAAATACAGAATATTTTTTTTGATATGTTGGTTTAAAAAGATATACTAAAGCACAAATCAATGTCAAAAATGGATACAGGCTTCCAACAAAAAGTAAACAATTTCTCAGACAAATTACAAGCTCATGCTTATTGATGAAACACAATAAATTTTTCATCGTCTATATTGAAAACTACTTTCTATTTTTTGAAATATTATTTCCTAATTTTTAGTTTTCTGAACATTCAAATTAAAATAAACTGCGAAATGGCCTGAAGACTCAAGTTCTCAAGACAAAATAATAAATCATTTCAACTCACTGGCGACTTGACGATACATCAACCTGAAAATATAAATGGCTCTATTTCACATTCTCTGCTGTTGTTCATTTGTAATCGAGACAGAAAATAGTTTTGTGGATAAATGATTGGTTTTGTTCCTCACTGTGTAAAAAACATGAAAAAAAACACCAAATGAAAAACTCATCAAAACGATACGGCACGATGTAATTATTAGTTAGTATAAGACTAGGCAGGCAGTGAACTCGATAGAGAAAGATATGAATATAAATATATAATTATGCCTGGAAGATGAAGCATCGGCTCCTTTGTATTAGAATGCATTTTCTCTTTTGTTGTTTTTCATTTTATACTTTTTAATGCTGATTTGTTGCTGTTAAATCTGAACTGTTTCGTTATTTCTATAGCTGGAGAGTTGTTGCGACCAAACCCACTCACTGGTTCTAAAAAAAATGGCTGGCTTGAATCTGTTTTGTTGTGAGTTGTTTTCAAAAAGTTTAGAAAAATTTACAAAATTATTTATCGGCACTCATTAATTTTATTCACGAGCAATAAAGTTCAGTTTTTGTGTGTTTGGTGTTAGGTTGAGTACGTTCGGACTTCCACAACTTTACGTTTATAGTTTAATATTTGAAATAATTAAAGCTAGGGTATAATATTCCAAAACAATTTCTGTACGATGTTTCATATAAGTTCGATGTTTTAAATCATTATGAAAATATTTCCGTTAATTCTGCTAGTAGTTAAGATGGATTTGTTTGAAAGCGATCGAAAATTTAAACTGATTCTAAGCTGATTATCAATTCAATCAGCATGCGATTAGAGAACATGCGATTATTGCGTTAAACTCGCAACAGATTCGCAATCAAGAAAATTGTAAAAAAAAACAGCATCAAGCCTCCCCGTTAAATAACTTCGTTGCCCGCACGCTTTGGTTGTTATTTTTATCATTGTTGTGAGAGAAGTTATTTTTTATTTCCCGTTGGGCAGTTAAATAGCAGAGTTAAGACTGCTTGTCAAATACAGTGTCCTGTCCAAGTCTTCCACGAAGATTCACTGCTCTCCACCACTTTATCATTGCACTTGGAAGAAAATAATTGAAACAAAAACATTTTCAAACTTGCATTTACACCGTTAGCAAATTACAGTTTTGTTTTTGAATTCGTATTTGATGATTTGCATAGCGTTTCTTATGAAGAATGTCAGAGGGGTGTATGATAGCATAGCATTGTGCGATAATGAAATATTTCAAACGTTTCATGCATTCTTTTCGTCTTTTTTTTACTAAGTTACACTTTAGTCTTTAATCACAATTATACGTTTTGTTGCAACAAAGTTTGTAATACACACACATGACCCGTACACACACACACACATACACACACACACACACAAACAAACACTTGCTGATATGCGTAGCAGCACAAATCTCATAGGCACGCGATGTATGATCATAGAACTTTGTACCTAGTGGCGCATGAATCAGTGCCAACAACCCCAATTTGACTATCGAGAATTGAAATGCGAATAAATAAGATCAATTTATATACAACACACGCGGACTTTGAAATGATTTTAAAGGAATAGTGGCGATATTTGATGATAAAATACTAAAAACTCCACATGACTTCAACCGGATTTCAAATTTCCCCACTGAAAAATTTTTCTCAGCAGTAATATATCCTGTCAGGTTCATGCCCAGGTAGTTATATTGGGTTGTTACTTTTATTTTACTATTTGCTACTCTCTAGATTCTGCTACAAATTTTTTAAATAATTTTTCATAATGTTGATTTTTCCAAAAAGCAGTTTTTTCCAGAAAAAAGCATTAATGTTAATGTTACTTCAAAAGCTCAAAATAGAAAAATCAGAGTGTAAAAAATTGTTAAATAGCAGTGAAATAGACATTGATAATGCAATATGTAAAACAATCCGGACGCAAACCACACACAAAAATTAAGACGAATGTTTAGATTTCAAAGATGAGTCATTAAAAACTTAAATACGGTAAACTAACGGAAGCAAATGTGGAAAATTTAATAAAATATTTATTCATTATCTTAAATAAAACGGATAAAAATATGCTCAGTAATTGATAATATTCCTATTTGTTAATCTAAATGTCTCAAAAAATGAACATTTATCTATGAATTATTAAAACGAGTTATATTTTACTATTGAACCATTTTAAAATATCGTAAAATATGTTTACAAAATTACTCGAATTAACGACTCAAAATATTTCATTTCGATGTAAAAAAAAACATTTCAAATCATAGAATAAGCAGCTGATTTTGAGATGAATTAGCAAGCAAGAAAAAACCACACATTCATAAATGAAATTGATGATATGTAAATGATAATTTAGGCTAGGAGGTGTGAGTAAATATGGGTTGTATATGGATATATGCTAAAGTAAATAAGTAATTATATTATAGCTGAGTTATAAAAGTAGTTCAGTTATAAAAGTAGTAAAGAGATAACTCTAACTAAGATCACTCTCAACTCTCTTTAATTTATATGCTCGCCTCTTATATACTAGGAGACCTTGCTCCCTAGAGCTTAACTAGTTTTCTAACTCTTTCTAACCAGTCACTAGAAGTATTTTATGTTCTGATTAATTATAGGTTATATAATCTTATATTAAGCTACTATATGTCTGTAAATTTGCTGTCTAGTCGTGAACTACATTTTAAAATTAAATATTATAATTGCTTCCTTACTTTAACATATACCTATACACAACCTATATTAACTTATTTCTCCTAACCTAAATTATCATCTACATATTAATATGCACCTGGATTAGAAGTTTCGTTGTCATTCTTTCCATTGTTAAGCAGAGGCAAAAACGTATCGTTGAAAAGTGAATAATGTAAAAATATGGATCGTAGTATTGTGAAAAATAGCTTTGTAATGGAAATTATTTCTCCACTAGCATAATATGAAAAGATGTCACGTTGAAATTTATACTGAATGGCTTGTCGTGTGCAACAATCAATGTTTTTAGTACATTTCCCTGGTAAAAATTTTTTTGGCATAAAACAGTAAAATTATTTATTTTATAGAGAAATGATGTCACTAAATAATAATGATGAAAATAATGAAAAAAAAACAAAAATACGAAAAATAAAAAAAAACAAATGCGCCATTATTTGCGGCAAAAACGAATTAGTATTCAAAAACACGGACAGTACTGCCTGTTTTGCGGCGTTCAATTAGAAATTTCATTTTGAAAGCAAATAAAAATTTCATCAAGTTATTTTTAGCGTTTGTGTGCTTGTCGTTTTGGCGGCCAAAAAAGCTGCGACGTGAAAATTTTCTAATTTTACGCTTCAACATTAGTTCCATCATCTATTTTCAATCGTAGCCGCTGAAAAATCAAGCAAAAAATTCCTCATTTCACTAATATTCCAAACAACTGAAACGAATTTATTAACACGACACAATAGTTTGTAACAATCACAATGTAAATGAGATTAGTGCGTCATGTGTTGGTACAGAAGGACCGTGGGGTAACTCCACTCTTCCAGAGAATCATAATTGTTTAAGTTATAATTAATTCATCTATTTTTAAGTTTAATATGTAATCATTACATAATAATTCATTTAATCACGAACTTTATAAATTTAACCCTCTTCCATATAGGGATGACTAACCTAATCTCCTAAGATTTATGGTGTATTTTTTCCTCAAATAATTAATATAATTTTCTGATATAATAATTTACAAATAGTTCAAAATAATAAAATTATATGAAATTATTCGAAAAGTTTTGCCACTAAGAAATCATTCAATGTTTGCTTTGTCACTATCTTCGTCAATATTAACGCTGCAATTAAAACATTAAAAACATCAACAACTTCGAGATCACCGGCAACATTGAAAACATCAAAAACAAAATCAACAACATTAATATCATCTACAGCATTAGAAGCATCTATAACATTGAAGTCACCAGACATAAACAGACTATTCCTTATTACCTGACCTACTAACTGAATTAAAAATCTAAATAAATAACATTGTATTGAACAAAAAACCAGCAACAACCTCAATTTTCTGATCTACTTTATTCTATAACATAATTATAAAAACACTAACCTAACACTAATTATAACAAGATAATTATAAACCGCATTAACAACAACATAAAAAAATACAACAAATAACAATAACATCAAAATAACACGCCTTCAACATCAAAAACATCAACCACACGTCAACAACATCAAAATCACACATCAACAACATCAACTAAACAGCAACAATATCAAAAACATCAACTACACATTACACTTGTACTCCAGACATTAAGAAGGACAAAAAAATACATCTCCGGCTGTGAAGCGTGAATAACACATGATGATTGCAACAAAAGTCATCAACTCTCAAGTCACCGTCAGGCAAAAAAAAGTACATTAAAACGACAACGCCATTAAATTAAGCAAAACAACAACAACAACCACTACTACTACTACTATTACTACTACTACTACTACTACTACTACTACTACTCCTACTCCTACTACTACTACTACTACTACTCCTACTACTACTCCTACTACTACTACTACTATTACTACTACTACTACTACAACTATTATTACTACTACCACAACAACAACAACTACTACTACTACTACTACCACAACTACTACAACAATGATAATAACAACAACAATAGTAATGTTTGCTGCAATTGTTTAACTTTCAAGATATCGTTGTAAGTTATATTGTTGTCATCGTAATGTATTACAAACTTATATTTCAGGAGCAATATAGTTCATAAACAAGAATATTTATTTTCAATAATTAAACTTTTGTAGGATGAACGGTTTTGTTTGTCACATATATGTTTCAAATTAACCAAAAATTGTTGTCTATGAAATGTATATTTTATATTGAAACATGTGAGACAAACACATGTTTAAGGCAAACGTAGATGGCTAAATTTGTTAATTGAAATTTAGAAAAAAATGTATAATAAAAAATTTTATTTTTTCAATAAAATGTATGTTATTCAATACAATATATATCAATACCAGTATGAAACATCATAAACGAGGCAATTTTTACGTTAAACTTTGTCTGACGATATTGAAACAAAATGCTGTAAAGCCCCTCTTAACTTGGTCTGCCACACAAATATAATCTCCTGAACACTAAAAAAATAAAATATCAAAATAGAATTTATTAAAATTTATTTTTATCAGAACTCAATGAACACAACTTAAAAAAAGCCCAAAAAAATTAACAAACGACAAACAAGGCAAGTAAGTCGAATGTTATTTTAATTGCTGGCTACTCTAAAAAAATAAACAATATCTTTAACACATCAATTGTTCAATGACGATTTACATTCACATGAATTAACTGATCAAAAAAGTTTATGAAACTTACTTCTATTTTGTTGTTCATTCATCGGGATGGTAAAATATTTTATCATTCATCACCATCATTGTCATAATGATCATCCTTATAATCAACATATTCATCATCTTCCTCATCATCCTCTCCATCATCATCGCGTATCTTTGCTCCTTCCATGGAGACAGCATAAAGCAACTCATTCAAACCTGTTCATATTTCCCCGAAGGATTTCAACCTAGCATACAATCATGAGTCTGTCTGAGTATGAATTATGCTGCGGCTGTTGCGGCAACTGCTGCTGCAACTGCTGCTGCATCTGCTGCTGCGACCACTACTACATCAACATTGCTAGCCAATGACATTAATCGTATCCACTGAATAAATACATGACATGAACCACATAATCACATTAAATAACATCAGCTACTACAAGCTACCAGCTATCAATTAAATTCCATCATACACATGGAAATAATCAAGAGTAACTACACAAACATTAATAACATCAACAACCCTCGTGACATCAACAGCAGTAAAAAAATTCTTACAACAGCAACAACACTGATGTCATCATTATCATCATTACAAATGTAATCACTACAATTATCACCGACAGCCAGCATTGTCAACCAGCATTGCTCTTCATCAAACGTATAATTAAGATGAATAAAGCCGTACATCAACATCAATAATTTGTCAAGTCAAGTTTCAATAACATTAACATTAAAAAAACATCCTATGTTTCTACCTGATATTGACAAAATTTCATGGTTTCAGCAGCATTAAGAGGATAAAACAACAGCATAAACACGCCCTCGCACATTGGGCTTCTATGTGGCTTATCTCGTCATTATCTTCGTCGTCATCCGGAAAAAACCACAACACACACTCAACACACTGATTAGTTTTTACAACAAAAACAAAAAAACATCATACAAACAGTAGACAAACCACAAATAAAAACGAAGAACAGTAAACAACAACATGCAAACAACAAAACAACCACCCATCCACCAACAACAACAAAACACACTGACCCTTGTTGTGACGTCATGAGTAGCACCGCCACAAACACCGCCGCCATCGTCGTTGTGGTTGCTGCTGTTATAATTATCACCTGGCAAACACACGGACAGAAGTTTTGAAGTTTGTTTTTGTGATGAAAATGATGTACGGCTGGTGATTAAAAGTTGTTGTCATTATCATTAACGTCTTTCAGTCATCATCAACTGTATAATCATTAACATCATCCATATCGTCACATCATCAACATCGTCATTATCATCGTAGTCACTACCTCCACTATCATTAAAATCATCCTCGTCATCATCATTTCTAGCGCCACCTTGGCATCCACAACAGATTACAATAATCATTCTCTGAATCCAGTTCATTCAATCTTTCATTAATAATTCAAACGTCCACCATGACTCAATTCAATATACTCAACTCGTCTGATCCGCAAATGACGTCATCGTCTTGGTGTCCTGGCAGCCATTGTTGAGATCACGTGATGACGATGACTTTTCATTATTGCGCTGCTTGTTTCTTGTGCTGCTGCAACTGTTGCTTGTGTTTTTGTCGTCGTCAGGTTGTTGTTTGATGCTGTTTGAGAGGAGGAGATTATTCGACAGGTGATCCCTTTTCGTGTTGATGTCTGTTACTTGGCGTGCAGGATGTGGTTCTTGGTGGTGCAGCTGATGTTGGAAATGTTGTTGTTGTTGTTGTTGTTGCTGTTGCTGCTGCTGAACATTTGCTGGCACGTAAATTGCGGTTTTGTTTTGTTGCTTCGTCGAACAGGCAAACCTTCCAAGTAGAATGTGTTTGACGATGATGATGACAATGATGAAAAGGATGCAGGCGGCCATGAGAGATGAAATGATGATGATGTCTTCCAGCCAACTCATTCTGCAGCTTTTTCTCTCTCTCACTATGTGCGCGTGCGTGTGTGTCTATGTTTGTAGTTGTGTGTGTGGGTGTGTATGTATATGTATGTCTTATGTGTGTGTGTGTGTGTGTGTGTGTGTGTGTGTGTGTGTGTGTGTGTGTGCCTACCTTCAAATCTGCTTCTGCCCCACCAGAGTTCCTACAAATATATTTTTGCATAGTATATTTTCATCTTCATTATTAGATGTTTGATACTGCATACATGTGAATTATAAATTATTAATACTGCAATTATCTGTTAAGAAATTACATTTTAATTTAATTTTTTAATCATAATATTAAGAAATGTTTAAATTATTATGTAAGAAAAAAATCTTAGTTTACACGCTAAACTGATATATACATCCATTTTATATTTTATACTGTTTTTCAAAATCACAATTTTACTTAAGAGCTGTCATGATTACTTTAAAATCTGCCCAGACGTTAACACAATCGACGGAAATTTTTGATACTTTCACATCATAACAACAGTCACTTTCAACATTCAAGAAATTTATGTTATTCAAAATGCCTGCCTGACTGACTGCCCAATTGTTGTTTCAATTGATTTCGTGTTTAAGTTGCGGTTGCTGTTTCGAGTTGTGCAGCATTGAGTCGAGTTGTGGTTTTTCTATGCGTCCTCTTGTTTGGTTTTATTATTTGTGGTTACTCACTCGACTTAATTACTACAAATGTAGCCATAAAATACGTGAGGTAAGATTTCAGCACTTGAGTCAAAAACGCTTTTGCCACTGCACTTCTCCCCAAAATCTCAACACAAAGAACCTCAATTGAAACAACTGAGATAGAAATTTTAGTTAATTATTAACTTCTGCTCAAACACACAAAAAACTGAAAAAATCAAAAAAACATTTGTGAACCTTGTCAACAAGAAGCGAAAACACGGACCCGCAATAATCTAAATGAAGAAAAAATTATCGCAGCGGTCATGATGCACGCATTTACAACGCGCATGTTGGTGCTGTACATACACGAAGCTACGTGCAGAGCTGACAACAAACAAACAAACATACAAACGTACAAAAGAAGATACATAGCAAGATAGAAAAAAAGCTGCATATACTTATTCAGATGCTATGTTGTGCGTGTGTACATGTACGCACACAAAACGCATACAAAATAGGGATACAGAGCAGCACACACTTTTTAGATCCATATTGTATGTGTATGTGTATACGTATCGTACACGGGAGCTTAACGTAATTTCTTTGAGCTTCAAAAGCGTGTATGGTGTACAGGGATGCAAGCTTTCAAAACATGCACAATGTATACATTTGAGTTGTACATGTAGCCTTCTGTACGCTTGTACATATTGGTTGTACATGTACACTGTATCCAAGAGATTGTTAGTTATACTTTATAATGTATACAATTTGTGTTTGATCTTTTTTTTAAGTGCAACTTGAAAATTTGTGAATTACTCTTACCCACCCTAGCCGAGGTTCAAAAGTAATTGGAAGAGAAGCAAACAGAGCAATCTTCCGTCAGCAAATATATATTAAATCGTTAAAAATATAAAATATTCAAATTATCGCAGTTGATGGTGGCAGTATAATGAGCGAAGGCAGAAATAAATTTATAAGTTTGGAAATTTTTATATCAACAATTTTTTCAAATTCAATTAACAGATTATTTGCTACGCTAATTAGTGTTAATTATGTTATATTAATATGATTTTGTTTGAAGCAACTAAAATAAAATTGATTTATTCAAAAATACTTGCATTCTCAATTTTATTCAATTTATTCTATAACTTTTTGACAAACGCTTCAACTTAATAATATTTTAAAGTAAAATTTGCATATTAAACTGAAATATTCAATCACGCCAAACTGTAAAAAAAACGCCAAACTCCACTAAGATGTCTTCGTAGTCTAGCAAAAATTAAAATTTTTAAGAACATGAAAATATTTTACAGTAGAAAAAGGTAGAATTAGTAGAAACATGAAAAGTCAATTTGAAGGGCAACGTCTTAATAACGTCAGTCCCATGGTACTAATCGATTAATCATCACCAACTGTTCTCATCATTAAAAGCATCCGTTATTAACATCATTATATCATTTTCGTCATCAATATATCGCCAAACCATCATCATTTACAACTTTACATAATCGTTGTGATAAGACGATGATAGCATCATTAATAAAATCACGATGACGTCATCATTAACAAGATCGCGATAGCATTAATAACATGATGACGTCATCATTAACAAGATCGCGATAGCATTAATAACATGATGACGTCATCATTAACAAGATCGCGATAGCATTAATAACATGATGACGTCATCATTAACAAGATCGCGATAGCATTAATAACATGATGACGTCATCATTAACAAGATCGCGATAGCATTAATAACATGATGACGTCATCATTAACAAGATCGCGATAGCATTAAAAACATGATGACGTCATCATTAACAAGATCGCGATAGCATTAATAACATGATGACGTCATCATTAACAAGATCGCGATAGCATTAATAACATGATGACGTCATCATTAACAAGATCGCGATAGCATTAATAACATGATGACGTCATCATTAACAAGATCGCGATAGCATTAATAACATGATGACGTCATCATTAACAAGATCGCGATAGCATTAAAAACATGATGACGTCATCATTAACAAGATCGCGATAGCATTAATAACATGATGACGTCATCATTAACAAGATCGCGATAGCATTAATAACATGATGACGTCATCATTAACAAGATCGCGATAGCATTAAAAACATGATGACGTCATCATTAACAAGATCGCCATAACAATGCGGTTATGGAGAACTGCAGATGCTGATGATGAAATCATAGCGTATGATGGATGGGCGCGGGTAGGTCGGCGAATCAACAATACTGTCTAAAACGCTGCATATGTCCTATTGTATAATTATTTCATAATATCAACATAAATAGCATTAAAAACGTTGTTAACATTTTGTAAATATATATTTATATATTAACGTTGATGTGGCATTATTATTATTATAAACAGCATTAGGAGCTGAGTCCCATTTGAGAGTCTGAAAGCCCTAGGGCAAAAAAGAAGGTCCTTAATTATTTAATTATTTTCAATATAAACAAATTTTTTGATGAAAAATAAAACTCACAATGTACCGAAAATTCAATAGTTTTCCATCACCAAAAACATTTTTATATTAAAAATACTCTTAAACACGATCGTTATCGCCATTTCTATCGTAAATATCTTTTCAAAAGAATTTTTTATTAGAATTCCACGCAATAACAATGTAAATTGAACATCCAATAATAATAATGAAGAAAAAGAACCAAACATGGGAAGAAGAAAGACAATTGCAGAGAAGGAAGCAATATAAGCATTTTGAATGTTCTACCTAAATCAACATGGACAACAACAATACTGCAACAAACGGTTTGCAACGCCGACGACATCAGCAACAGTCTCAACAACAACGAAATAACAACATCGGCAACTACAAAAACAGACTATAATGTAGCAATGGCTCAGCAACAAAAACAGTCTCAGCAATAAAAATAGTTTCAGCAACAAAAACAGTCTTAGCAACAAAAACAGTCTTAGCAACATAAACGAACACAACAACAAAAACAGTCAAAACAGCAACAACAACAAAAATGAAAGTTACAACAACAAAAACATCATCAACAACTGCAGTTGAAACAATTTGAAGACTTGGTCCCACCATGCTTGCACCAGTTTTATTGATCATGGTACTGTTTGCAAAATTGATAGAATAGCATTAGTATTTATTATCCAGAACAGGAAACATTTTTACAGAGTTTTTTATTAATTATAAGGCCTCATTAAATAAATATAAAAATCATTCTTTCAAACAAAAATTTTGAAAAATGTTTTGAATTGAAAACACGAAAATTTTAAGATGTGAAAGAAAGAAATTTTAAATTTAAATGCCTTGTTATACAAAATTGACTTTGTATTGAAATAGTTTTTATGAACTGTTTAAAATTAATCTGAATGTTTCAAATATAACAAAATTGATGTATGGTTAAAACGACAACTATAGCAGGAATAACAGAAGAATTTGAATATAAATGCAAATAACATTTGAAAAAAATTTAAACCCATCGTGAGTGTGAAATTAAATGCCATCTGCATATTGCAGAGAAAAAAACAGCCAAACATCAAAATCGCCTTTTGATGAACGCATAAGGCAAACCTTTTTTAATAGCAGTAAGGTAAAACAAATTTATTTTGATGTAGCTTTTGGTGGCATTGCGTGGCTGGCGACAGAAGCGTTCGAACCGGCGTCTTTTCATCTTCTGCATGATGATCGCATTCCTAATGTTTGAAACGAACAAGATTCGGTGGAGGATTCATTGATGTCTGACGCCCAACGATAGCGTGACATATAAATATCATTCTGAATCAGAGTGGGGCCGATAACGCAATACATTTAAACTTTATATCATAGGATGGATGTCACAGCTGAAAAAGACACTTGTTTCAGATGTTGTACTGAATAAAAATGAACTAAAAGTGCAAGTCCTTTTTGAGTCCTTCGTACGTTCAATAGCGTTATATCAAGATCAACAACAGGCACTTAACGTAACGAAGTTTTAACAACAAGATTGATATAGGAAGGATAACAGAGAAAATAAGCACTGACCCAATGACCTGGTCATATTTTGTCTCTCAATGATTTAGAGTTAGGAAAACTCGTGTCGTGTTTTTTGCGTGGTTAATATTTGGCCAAAATTTTAACTAACGTTGGCTTCATCTTTCTCTACAGCAGAAATTTTTAGACATTGATCCTTTGTTATGTTTTCAACACTTTCAATTTTCTAAAACAATACAAATATAACAAAAGACAAGAAGAATGGACCGAAATGTGACTTTCCCATTAAAGTAACACTCCAGTCCCACTGTTACTTTATAATG